TTGCTTGCTTGCTTGCTTGCTTGCTTGCTTGCTTGCTTGCTTGCTTGCTTGCTTGCTTGCTTGCTTGCTTGCTTGCTTGCTTACTTACTTATATAACGACGCTTTTAACTCTATCCATTCGTGCAACCCAAACAGATACCTTGATTGCCTCTCTCACGAACGCCCTTAATGATACTAAAATCCTTAATCTACACTCCGACTGACAAGATGATGAATATGCTCGCCCCTTTACGAGGGAATTTCCCGCAACACTTGACTTACCAGTGCATATTTGACACCTGGGAGTAAATCATTGGAAAATCATCGGAGCTGTGGCTTGGTACATTTCAATTGCAGACATAAACGTACTAATACCGTAACTTTAAGTCTATGTTTGATAAAAAAAAATCTTTCTTACGCAGGGCACCATTTCCATCTCGGATTTCAACCTCAAGTGTAATTCTGAACCTGCAACTGAGGTAGCCACCGACGCTGTGTCAGAACCATCAAGCCGCGCACTGTTTGCGCTAAATGATAGCTCAGATTCAAGAGAATTGTTAAGAGTCAAAGGTGTACCCACGTGGAAATCATTGATAACAACCAGGATGCCGGTCAAAGTCATAATCGACATGAAAGAAGACTTGAAAGATTCCCAGCACGGAGGCGTGGTGATTCCTAAGAATATGGTGCGACGCATTCGATTCCTTGACAATCGTTGGTTCACTGATGACGAGAAAAAAGTTCTTCACCTTTACAATGGCTTTAACAATGGAGGTAGTGGTGACCCTAAAAACAAGAAAATTTCCGTTCTTGGTCTGGTGCTGAGCTTCGATGAAAAGACAGGTCGACTTGTTCTTACTGACAGCGACTTTAAAGCGTCCAAGAAAATCTTTCAAGGTTTAAATTCTAACATGAGGGGCTCTATTATTGGACAAGTTGAGGTTAACCGTGGAAAAACAGTTAAGCGTCGCTCAAAGTTAATGGATGCCTCCGCTCCTGCTTCCGCTATTAAGACATGTAAAGTTATGTTTTCAAATGCGTTGCGCTTTGATCCAAAAGGAGGAAAATGTCTACATTTCACGGCGATTTCAAGTGGAACTATCTATGTGATGTTTGCTGTGTCTCCAGGAAAACCGCATTCGCAGTACACTGTTCGAATAGCCAGCGACAGAGTTGATATATACAAGGTAGCGTGAAGTTATTTTGTCGCTCAGTTATTTCAAATTTTAGCTTTAGTCACTTAATTGGTGGAAATATTACATTATTAGATGATTGCAGTTTCTGAATTTGATGTCTTTGATGTCTTGAAGTTAGCATAGGTTGCAAATAGGTTATTACCAATATTTTAATTCGCCAGAAATGGTTAAGCCTTTTTACTAGTATTGTTTGAAAAACAATTTTCTCTCTGCATGCGTTGTCATCGAGTCGGCATTAAGTTTCTTCTTTAGATATTGAAAGAGGTTTCCCTACTTGCTAATCTAACTATTCCACCAAAGAAGGTATTTACAGCGCCGATGAGATTCAATGACGATTAGCATAGTTTTTAAGTTGAACAGTCACCGAAAAGGCAGGAGCAAATTTTGGGGCCGGAGGGGGTATATAGAGGATGGATGCTACAGGGGTGATTACTTTGAATTGAGCAACTCGTTTAGTTTTCAAGCATTTCATATATGTGACATTATCAGTTCTTCCAAAATAGTATATACAAAAACATGTCATTTCAGGGATCAACGTCAAAGATATTCATCGAAGATGAAAGTGCTGTTGGTATTGGTACGGAATCCATACACCAATCCTACTTTGTCTGCGTAACAGAGTCGAAAGAGGCTGTCCGCATCGAATACGGCAAAAGCCAAGGAAGCTCAGATGCTGGGGACGTATTTCTTAGTTTCGGAGACGTCGCAGAAAACGGGTCTGATCCACCACTAAGCGTTCAGTTTTACGCATTCGGTATCGAAGACGTTCCCGCTAAGATAATGGATGCCCATTTGCTGCCAAGAAAGCTGACCGATGCAAGTTGTAAGGGCAGCACAAGGGAAGACAATCCAACCGGCTTGTGCGCTGAACAATGCCACTTAAATTGTGATCCAACCGCAGGTAAGATAAAGGTTCATATGTTCCGGTAAGACAAACAAGTTCTATACAAACAGAATCAAATGAAACATGTATGTAAGGCTGTTTCCTATTTTCACTGTTCAAGAGAGTGAATTGAGCTGATGCACCAATCTCAGAGTAAATGTACATGCAATATACTCTGTCGGATCGATCAGAAGTTCTGGGAAATTAATTACTAGCTGATTTCGTGAAGCCTACCTCTGTGCTTCACAAAACGGGCTTGGGCTTCGTGAAACCCTCCTCCTCCCATATTCCTAGGTATCTAAGCTTCACTCTCAGGAGTTCCCTCAACATTAGCATTGGCATTGGCATTGCAACGTTTGATTAATTATCGCAAGAAGAGACGCAATAATCTCTTTAGTTGTGGGGCTAGCTCTGCAAGCGAGAAAAATGAACCGAATTCTACTTTGTGATTGGCCCGCTCGAGATCACCTCCGGTGTCCCTCAATAGTTTCCTTGTGGCATGTAGTGAATCCTTTATTTTCCAAGCTCAGGTTTTATCTTGATGACTGTATAGGTACTTTTCTGTGCTATTATGGACATAGACAGCGTCTCACATAAGAACGCCAGAAAGAAAACTCAACCAATATTGAGCCATCTTTGGCAATAACCCATAAAATTATGATGAAGAATTGGAACTTCAGATGCAATAATCAACAAAGCACAGTACACCAAATATATAAGTTTGTTAAAATAACGATTGAACCTTTAAATATTTCGACAACGCAGTTTGACTTTGTTCTAAGACGTGATGAAAAATATCTCCATAACCATTACAGAGGGTGCAGTACGATGTTTCGAAATCAACCTGAAATCTACCAAGTTTTTGACCGAAAATGTTCAGAAGTATCTTAGCCTCTGCCTGATGATACGGCTCTACACGTTTTCCCCATAAAACAGGTTTGACTGTATCAATAATTTAGCGAAAATGATGATTATATTTTCTTCGAATCTATACTGACCTCGCACCTCACGTCCTGCAGCAAGCGAGCAAATTTCATTGACTTTTTTAAGCTGTGCTTTCGCTGCCGTATTTTAAACAGCGATGGCGACAATCCATTAAAGGGTTTGCGATAGCAATGTTTCAAAGTACTCTAAAATAAGGTTCGTCATTGACACATTGCCTGACATGACAGAAGTTTTACGTCTTTGATTTAGGATGCACAGGGCCAAAGAGTACCCAATGTAAAGCCTGCAGAATGGCCAAGGACATCAACACTGGCGAGTGCTTGGATCACTGTCCTGAAAACACCTTCTTGACATCGAAGGGAGTTTGTAAGGGTGAGTCGTAATATAAATGATAGCATTGAAATTATATATGATTTCAGTGTATATTAACCAGTGTTTCCAGAAAGACTTTCCCCTGGTTGGGGTTTGGGGGGGTAGGGGGTGGTACTCCCATGTGAAAGTGGTTGGGTTGCTCGTCTTCTGGTCTTGGGCGTCATTATAAATTTACGTTTGGTCTCACTTGGGGTGCTCAGGACAGCAAGTAAATGCTTTTACACACCAGGGTATCTTTTGCGATTGTATACCAAGAAATCACGAAAACCTCGTAATAGCTTGTTGGTGGTTTAGATGCTAATATAAGTTTTCAATTCCCACCTTAGAAATTTAATTAAATCTTTTTTTTCTTTTTTTTTTTTCATTCTCGTTTCAGAATCTTTTGAAATTAACGGAAATGAACTCACAGGCCCAAAGGAGATTGACTTCGACACAGACATGCCTAGAATGTCAGAATTAACAGTGTCATTTTGGGTCCAGTTATCCGGCACCAAGGTCCCCACTCCTGGGATATATTTCTATTCCGACGCCCGTATTTACCTGGATTTTGTGGAGTACGAACATAGTCCGTCTGGTTTGGCGTTCAGAGTGTGGATGTTTAGGTAAATATCCCTCGCTGTTCATTTACCGACTCTGAAGTAAAGAATGTTTGAGTATATACCCAACCAGTGAAATACCCGGCTACGGTGGTTTGTTCCTAAATACTAGACGCTAAAAATGTTTTCTCTATCATGTCAGAGGTCCCTGTTGGTATATACTAAAACTATTGTTCAAGCTTACCGTCGATCAATAGTGACTTGAAGATTATGTGAACAGTACTGTAGTAAGTTAGCTTAGTGATGCTATAGGTCTAGTTATCTTTGTCATCATATAAGTAATAGTAACTGGAAGGAGTGGAGTAATTTGAAATCGACCTCGCGCTTCGCGCTCGTCCGATTTTGCAATTACTCGCGCGATTACTCCCTAAATTGTACGACACGAGGTCCAGTTGCCAATTAATCGTATCTATAACAAATTTCGGAATTAAAAATGTATTTTGAGAACTTCTTTTGAGCGAAAACGTGTAGCGCTTTTCGTAAGTCAGTTTTCAAAACTGTACAAAACATTACGAAGGAAGCCACTAAAGCGCGCGTAATTGACATGCAAATCACGTGGGTATCGAATTACAAAAAGTTCAAACTGGATACCTAAAATTGGACACCCACGTGATCGTGCGCCGATTACGTGACAAATAGCCGCGTCTTGAACCAGTCACGATCGAGAATTTTGTTATAGATACGGTTAAAAAAGTAATACCTGTTGTTGTTGTTTAACAAATTTAGATTCAACCGACAAAATAAAAATGACAGAAGATTGTGAAAAATTTCTTTTGAACTTGATAACGATTTCCCTTCACTGAAAATAAATATCATCTATTTTGTAACTAAGTAGACACTCCTGACTTCTTCCTCGGCTCTATTTCGTTCATTAGCGGAGTAACGGCAGAATTCTACTGGCGGTGGCCACAAGAATTCATGGCAAATCCAATCTGGCATTTGCTCTCCACCACGTGGTCCGGTATGAACCGCGTGTTACGTGTTTTCGTAGATGGAGAGCGAGAAAGCACTTGGGAGTATTCAGGAGTTCAAAGCTTCTCAGGAGGGGGAAGGTTTGGTCTAGATGTCCCACAAGGAAAGGCGTTTCCAATTCGTGTGACCTCAATCAATATGTGGAATCACGTGCTTAGTGACGAAGTAATTACAGCACATGTGAAAAGTTGTGATGCAGCGATCGGAAATATCAAGGAGTGGTACGATGCTTGGCCGATTTTGGAAGAGCAGAGCGCTCTCTACACAAAACCAGCAACATGCTCCGCACCCATTCCGAATCCAAGTTATTCAGAACGCGTGGCGAGTGAAGACGACTTACATCTGTCCTCAGGAAAGGCACTCTTCACCAAAAACAAGAAAGAAAAGTCTTCAACCAAAGTTGGCAGAAAAACACATAATTAATGAAACATCGATTTTGATAAGCTGCCATTAAGAGGCCTCCAAAGTTAAATCGTACAATGTAACTGTTAATTAAAGAGTTCAAGATAAATAATAAAATACGAAGAGAGGCAAAATTGTTTTTTGTTTTTTTTTTCCATCTTTTCCGTCCCGAGTTACATTAGCTCACAATCTCTCAATTTTTTGTGACGTACGTTTTACATTTTTTTTTTCGGGACATCACACCGTAACAAATGTAATCCAGTTGTCATTTTTTAATTCTGATTCCTGGTCGTGCAGCTGCTTCCTAAAGTCGGCGCTGAAGCGTAGTTTTTAAAATTTCCAAAGGTGCAAGCTATCAAATGTGAGTTATTCCTGCAAGGTCCGAGGATTGCTTTGAGTGTGCGGAAGTTTTGAATTATCGAGGGTTAGAAAAGAGCAGGATAAGAGATAAAATTACAGGGTTCAAAAAAGTAAATCTAGTGGGAAACAACTTTTGGTTCGAGTTATCTCTTGGTTCAACGGTTCAAGCTTACGAAATAGAGATTCCAGTGTAATTCAGAGATTCCAAGTAAAAGAAGAAAATAACTGTTAGTTTTTCATGATTTTTACTCAATAAGGGAGAATGGAGTTAAGCAATAACAAATATAAAATACAAAGGAAATGTTAAAGGTTGAAGTGACTTGATTTTTTCTGAAGCGAAAGGAATCCCGATCTAAGAGTGAAGCTTACGAAACAAGACCGAATAGAAGTTTGGGTATCCACGCATGTTATTGTAAAAATATTTCGGCAGGGTCTTATTTTAACCCTTGAGGTACTGATACGTTTCGACCCTTCAGAGATTTTCTGATTTTGTAGGTTTCTGTATTTTTGAAGCTTTTCAAAATTCTGCTAAACGTTTGTCTGAGAGAATCATTTTAACAAACAGAAGGAAACATAAGAATTCACGTTCCTCACGTTATTAATCTCATCTGTATTTTCACGGTGCATCGCTTCTTCTATTCTACGCATTCACTTTTCAGTCTCGAAAGCTTACAACTTTCATCCGACATCCTTAGCTTACATGACTGCATATCTAAACTTTTATGAATTTGGATAAAATCCTCCTATAACTGTTCTTTTCTTTTTCTTCATACAAATCTTAAAAATAATCTAAAACTTCGTCATAAGATTAAGATACCTTCCACTGTAAACCACAGGAGGTACTCTTGGGTACAAGAAATCTTCACAACGTAATATGTAAATTGCACAAAACGTCGATTTGAATAAAGAGCATCAGGGTATATTACCCCTAAAGAAGAAATCATACTGTAACATGTCACACTCCAACCATAGCTAGCAGATTTTAACTTTTAGTCTTCTTATGCAATGCATCCCAGCATCTAAACCTCTGTTTGCTGTTGTCCACAACTACAAGTCGACGGCAATATATTGAATTCTTCAGCAATTACTGTAGAAAAATAAGGGAAAGAAGTTTTGAGAAAGAGGTGTTTTGCAAGGTTAAGTACTAACTAAAGGAAATCGAGAAATATTTCGCCAAAGCTGCTCCTCAATGCTGGAGTGAGTATAAATGACATTTAGACACAGCACTACCTTTGTGTCCGCTTAAATGTATAACAGGTTTGATTAAAAGTAACTTTGAGGTAATATATCAAACACGGAAGACCGTGTTAGACCACATTTTCAAAAACCAAGAAGAGAGTCGAAAATGCAGCGCGAAGTTGAGCATTTTTGACGAACTTCGAGGTGTTTGGAAATGTGGTCAAACACTATCTTGAGTGTTTGATATATCTTCTCAATCGAAACTAAAACTAGGGAGAAAACGGAGAAATGAAATCGTAAAAATCTATGCTAATTAAGATTAGATATCCAAACACCGTCACGGTCATGATTTCCTTCGTTTAAACCTGGTGAATTATTAACGAATATTAATTACCTTGCGGAGCTGAATCCTCCCTAGCCGTTACCATTAGTCCAGTATTTCGCCTTTTGTTAAGCTGCTTTGTTATGAAAAAGCACAGTTTGCCACCAACAAGAACGACAAATAGAAACAAGGACAGTGCTACCACAACAGCAACGAACACTGGCGACTGAGAGTCAAACGAGTTGATGGTATTACGCTCAACATCGGTGGACCTCTCTTGACTTTCGGCAGCCTGGAAAGCAAAGGTATTTACGAGTGACTGAATTTCTGTTACGAGACAAAATATGCGTTAAATTTTATATTCTTGGTCGAGAGTCAATTCTGTCACTACGGAGGTGCGCGGCCAGATTTGTACATTTCATTTTAAGGGACTACCTGAAACTGATATGCAACCGGAAGTAGAAGATGAGAGGTGTCTGGTAAGGCTGTTGATTTCTCCAGT